GAACCAAATACATTGTATGAAATTTTCAAATAATAAGTCTGTTTTTTTTTTTTTTTAAAGAAATCTTAGTTGGAGCAATTCTTTACCTAAAAATTGAGTATCCACTGAAGAACATTAGAATTGTCGTCTTTGGTTTTTGAGAGTCATGAGAGATGGTCTCTATTTCTTAAGAAAATGGAAGGGAATGTCGTAAGTGCACAGACGTTCTTCCATCACTTGGAGCTCATGTCTCAGCATCTCCCACAAGCAGGTCTTCTCTTTCATTGATTGCATCATTAAAGAAATCCATTACACCAGTTCCAGAAACCTTTGCTCAGGGCTAACAAATTTCGTAAGTGGAACCAAGCAGTTAATAATATTATGGCTACAACCATATTTTCACAATCTCTCAAAGCATTCTTTGCTGAGATTAGTCGTGATTTACCTTCTATCAGCCTCCGGCCTTGCAGAAGTCAAGGAGGTGAAGGGTGTATTCTTCTGCAGGAGTTAAAACCACTCTGACATAACATTCTATCCTATATTTAATACAACAAGCCTGTCATTTGTCAAATAGTTCTCATTTTCTGGCTTTAATATATCTTGAGTATGAACTCAGAGAGTAAAAATTCACTTGTTATAGCATGTAATGACAGAAGAAAGGTGCTTTTTATTTCTATTATTTTACTTCAACAGTCTAGCAAACAATCCTCTAACTTCACAGTTGGCCAGCACATATTTAACTTTTCTTTCTCAAAACATTTGTCTCGGTGGAACTATTTGTCAGTCAGGATGAGAGAGAGTTTTCTTTTAAAACAAAAAGTTATGTAGAAATGTTTTCAAAAGTCTCAAATAGAAAAGAGTTTGCTTACTGCAGGATGGATCTGTAAGGTTCTTGACTAGGAGTTTGTTTAACCCAGGGGGCATCAGTGTCCATCACAACTCCACAGATGTGGCTTTCCAGAGACTATTCGGTGTAGTCATAGAATGTACTGAGAGAAGGGAAGAAGGAGACATTGGATACTCGCTTTGTCTAAATTTACCTATAGCGCCAATACTTCTGGAAAACAAAACACGATATTCTTTTGCTTAAAAACCAGGTTTTTAAGTCGAGGCTGTTTCCTTGGTGACATGACAGGGCATCAGTAGTAACCAGAGCTTAGCTGCTTGAAGTGCTAAAATGTTTGGAGGTGAAAATTCCAGTAACACACACACACACACACCCACACCCACACCCCTCCCCCACAAATATGAAATAGGAATATGGTAAGAATTGGAATACTGAAGTCTCATGCCTAAGGGTCACTGACCAGGGCTTGTCCTGGTGGACTAGCAAGGGGGCACATGTGTGTATTTCTTGGCCCTTTGTCTTAAATCATTGAAACACTGGAGATGATGTCCTACGGAGACATCAACTTGGTGGGAAATTTGAGTACTGGTACCCTGTGATCACTAGGGTTGAATTAAAGATTGTTGATATCCTAGATTCAGAGGATTAGAGATAAATGTCCTCAAGGTATAGTTAATCACCTTCTAGTGGGGTTACTCTGCTATTACTTAATCCTTTTACACTTTGTTACAGTAATGCCTACGGGTTCATCCTCCACCCCACGCCTGTGGATTTATATGTTTAATACTGATGGAAAAGTCGATTTTATTGTCCTCTTTGATGTGACTTTATCTTCTTCCCTCTAGTAGCTGAGCTTCTGTTTTGGTCTTTGATTTTAAACACATATTCTTAAACACATATTTCTTGTTTTATTTTGTAGTGTTCTAATCTTTAGTTTAAAGCCTTCTCAGTTTCCTGTTTTCTAAAATAATAGGATCCATCATTTTTTTTTGTCACTTCTCCAGGCTCTACCTTTCTGCTACCTTTTTTTTTTCCTTTTTTTTTTTCTGGCTTTTGTGGATGGGTAAGTGTCTCCCAAAGGCCCACATGATAAACGCGCTGTCACAACCATGGAGGTCTTCTGGGAAGTTGTGGAACTGTTAGGATATGACGGTCAGAAGGAGGAATGAGGAAATTATGTCATCAGAAGCATACCCTTGAGGAGATACTGAGATTCTGACCTTCCTGTTCTCCTTCCTGTCACCAGGAAATCAGCAGTGTTGTTTTCTTCTGTATTTACAGACTTGCTTTTCTCATCACAGACCCTGAGCAATGAGGCATCTGAATGTTTGAGCCAACACAAATATTCCACCTTTACATTGATTATTTCAAGTGTTTTTCCATAGCAACAGAAAACGGAGTAAACATTTGTTGCAGAATTGTGGTAATTCTACTGTTATGGAACCTGTCACTGTATTTATCAGGGCACATATTGCATTTATTCTGTGTTCCTCATGCTGACATAGATCCTAACACTGAACAAGCATTCAGCATTTAACTTTAAAAATATTTTTAATTTATTCTTTGAGACTATATTTTGATCATATTCATTCCCCTCTCCAATTCCTCTCAGTTCCTCTCCTACCTCTCTACCCACCACGTTATCTTTCTCTTTTAAACAACAACAACAGCAGCAACAACAAAGAGAAAGGCCAGGTTGTGTTGTCTAAGCACGACTGCTCAAGAGGACTTCCTTGGTGGATATATCAAGCGCCATTCCACTGAAGAACACTGACTTAGTAACTGAATGGGAAACTTTTTCCAAGTAAGTTTGTCACTTCAGAAGAACATTTCTATCTCATATGTAATGAGCTGGATAAATCCATCAAAATATCAGAAAACATAATATCCTTTGTTAAGGACATGAAAACTATTCTTCAGACTACCCAAGAAGTCTACTTGAAGATTGTATTCATGGGTCTACAGGGTGATGAATAGATAGCTGGGTTCACATTCATTTTCCTTATCATGCTTTCATCTTCTGGCTTCGATCATTAGTAATATAGTTTCCATATCACCGTCTTTTTTTTTTCTGCCAGCATCTAGAAAAGTCAACCTTCTTATCTAGGCTATTAGTCATTCCTAGGTGTTTCAAATTCCACCATTAGATGGTGAATAGCATAGTGGGTTTTCAGCTATTGAACGCGGAGAAGGAAGCAGCAGAAACCACCAGGATTGCAGCATCAGTAAGATGGTGTTTCTTCATTATTGCACTTACTCACTCAGCATTTGCTTAGGAACATACGATGCTGACTAGCAAAAGAGCCGACTATAAGTGGATCAAAGCAGATACTGAGACTCACACCTTCGGCAGAGTGCAGGGAATCATATGAAAGAAGGGGAGTTAATATGACCTGGAGAGGACAGGAGCTCCACAAGGACCAAATATATCTGCGCACAGGAGTCTTTCATGAGACTGTTTCTCCAACCAAGGACCATGTATGGATATAGCCTAGAACCTCTGCTCGCATGTAGCCCATGGTAGCTCAGTATCCAAGTGGATACCCTAGTAAGGGGAACAGGGACTATTTCTGACATGAATTCAATGGTGGGCTCTTTGACCCCCCTCCTGAGGGAGGAGCAGCCCTGCTAGGCCACAGAGGAGGACTTTGCATCCAGTCCTGAATATACCTGATAAACCAGGGTCAGATGAAAGGGGAGGAGGTCCTCCCCTATCAGTGTACTTGGAAAGGGGCAGGGAGGAGATGAGGGAGGGAGGGTGGGATTGGGAGGGAATGAGGGAGTAGGATACAGCTTGGATACAAAGTTAATAAACTGTAACTAATATTAAAAAATAAATTAAAAAAGAGCTGACTATCACATGCCTAAATTCACATCCTTATAAGTAGCTACATTTTTGTCTTTTTTTTGTGTGTGTTAAAAAGTGTCTCGCAGTCTACCTTCTACATGTAGAAGATTTATTTGTAGCTTTGGCCTTCAAGCTATAGGGGTTTTGCTTTGTTTTCTGCAACCATTGTGAGTGCCATGCTTGGGTTAACCTTAGTAACATTATTGTCATTTTTCCCTGAAAGTCTGAAGAAAAATCTAATGGAGATGAGAGTTTCTAAGAGTTCAATGGTGGTATAAAATAATGTCCTTTGAGAAACATTGTTATCAGTGTAAGAATGAATAACTAAGAAGACTTAGGGCAGGGGCACATAGTTGTAATCCCAACAGTTGGGAGGCTGAAGCAGAAGAATCTTCATTTAAAGGTTAGACTAGACCACACTGCAGCATGAAAACAACTCATCTCAACAAATCAATACAACCAAGTTAAAAAAGAAGACAATTGCTTCACGTCCAACCCACAACTTTGTTAGGAAAGTGGATCCGGTTTGCACTCAAGTGTACTTACTGTTCACTCAACAACTTGTAGATGGTATCATTACCACCATTACCACCAGACAGTACCATGACCTCTTCAGTAGGTTCTGCTTTTCAGTTTCTCCTTTGTGTCTTTTCTCCGTGAAGTACTAATACTACATGCCCCACCAGCAGGCGGTATGTGGGAATAAGATTCTCTGAGGCTCTATCCTTTTGAGCATCATTAGATCACCTCCCTCACATCTGTGTTCTCTGGCCTAGACACTTCTACAAGTTCTAGAAAGATACTTTGCATTTTCTCTCAAATTTGGGAAAAACTTATTTTGAAAGAACATCTTGCCTTCACAACCCTTGAGGCTGTCTGCTTCTCTTTCTAGCAACATGAGGCAAAAGGCGTGACTTAAAAGCAGAATGGTAGCGGCTGTTTAGAATTCTATGTTAAATTTATAGAGTGCGTCATCTGCACCCTTCTTGGTTGATGACCAATTGTTGTGTTCCGGAGTTCCATGTGACAGCGTGGGAACTGACTTAGAAAAATAATAAGCCCAAATCATATTTCTGTCTACTGTGTTTTAAATGCCCACACAAGTACAGTGCCTCCTTCAGCCATTTAACAGTTATACTTCTGATTCATCCTAATTTTGGTAAGTAATTTTAACCATATGGAAACGAATCAACATTTGCCCCACAGTGTTTGTTTAAAGGCATCCATTAGTTATAAAAGCTTTCAAACGTCAGATGATGAATGATATGAGAATGATTTTCATCATAGGATTTCCTTATTACACTATTGTTTCTTCTCCTGTGACAGTTTGAATCCACCAACTTTGCTTCCTGGGATTTTGGCATTTCAGTTGTCAGCTCATCCTAAGGTAAGCCCTACCACCTCTACAATTTTGCCTTTGGATATTGGACATAATAAAACTTCAGAAATAACAACATAAGAGCCTCAAAGGAGCAGAATGAAAAGTTGAGTTTTTCCAGAAAGTAAAGTGAAGAACTAGCAACCAAAGAAATCTTGAAAGACAGGGCTCCATGGTAAATTAATTTGGTTCCTCAGACATCTTGCAAGGCTATTGAGGCTCCATGGGCTGTTCCTGGACTGGCTGTGGAACTGGATTGAGCCAGTAATTTTTTCCCACTTTCACAGTCTTTATTTGGCTATAATGTAGTGATCAGTATTGATCTTGAAGAGAGCTGGTGTGACAGGCTCAGCTATTTCTTAGTTGGATCAATTCTTAGATATGGGTTCAACCTTAAAATTCTATTCCTCATACAATTATGATCAGACTAATAACCCCCAACAGAACAGTGACAGCATAGTAATAGATTTCTCTCAGTCAATAACACAAAGGAAAGTTTCGGTTTTCAATACTTACCAGATGATTTTTGATATCTATTTAAAAAAGAAATTATTATTAACAAAAGTTTAGAAACTACACTTTTGTTTAAGCTCTAGCTATGAGAAATTTGAGCTCACTCTATCATCTATTATCTGTCTATCATCTATCTATCTATCTATCTATCTATCTATCTATCTATCTATCTACTACCTACCTATCAATTTTCTATCTATTTACCTGCCCACCCACCTACCTACCTATGTTTTCTACCACAGCCTTGTTATCTTCATCTACTCTTCTCTAAGTTTTTACAGATTATAATTTTGCACACTCTTTGTTTATTTCTAGTTTTTGAAACCACTAAATGAAATCTTTAAAATTAATTAAATTCTCATCAGTTCATCACCATTTATTTTATTCATTCTCTAGAATTCATGCTATATCTTTCCATGAAAGTTTCTATGTTTTATTCTATATATTGCTAGTCTTTTTTGTATATAAATCACCTTATACTCATTGTTTTCACCAAATTGTTTTATTAGCAAATTTTAGATTTATTTATTAATTATTTTTAAATATTAGCAAATAAAAGATTTCTTATTCCATGTCCACATGTATGACAGTATACTCTGATGCTAGTCATTTCTTCTATTACTTTTTTCTTCCTTCTTTTCTTTTTTTCTGCAATATTAGTAGGCTCTATTATATACTCATGTTGTTTACTTATTTCTCTAAATTATATACATGAAAAATGTGATACTTGTTTTTTTTCACAAATATAATGCTTTTATATTTGCTTATGTAGCACAATCTTAACATGAAAGAGTAAAGAGCTGCTTATTATTCTACCCACTTTTCACTTTGTTGACAATTTGTTTCTCTTACAATGTTGTAAAAAAATTTTATGCACATGGCATGAAAATATTTCTAACAGATGACAGGAAATGTATTTTGAAAATCCTCACATATCTTAATTTGACCTTTAATTTCTATTTTATCCAGCTATGTATAAAAAAGTTGCTATTTTTGTACAATATCTTCAAATCCTGGAAGTACAAGACTTTAATTTGCCAGTCTAGGAATATGAAATAATATAGTGGATTATTTTAATTTATACTATGACCAGTATGTTTCCTGTGGTTGTTTGCTACTGGATTTCTCTTTTCTGAAAATGTTGTTCATATTCTTTGCTAATTTTTCATCTTTTATTGCTTAAATTTGACCCTATTGATTCATAGACTCCATTCCATCGTAAAGACCTCAGCCTTGACATCAAGCACAATTTATTTGTCTGTGCTTTTCCATATTTGCTATTTGCTAATGTAAGTATACTTACAGTTTATTTCCCTCATATAAAAAGCCCTGTACTTATTTAGGATTAAAGAAAGCATGTATCACAATATTAATATATTTAACTGTCATAAAGTTAAGGTTTCTAGAAACTTCATCAATCCTTAATAACTGCCACTTAAATTTCACTGGAGTTCTCAATGATTTTTAATTCTTTTCATATAATGTATTTCAGTCATATTCTTTCCTCCTCCTCTGGAAAAATATGCACATAGATGTCATACATATTGTTTTAACAAATAGTTGCATTGAACCATAGACAATTTTCTCTCTTTCACTTCCTCATCATTGTTTTTTCCATGTGATCTTTTTAAAAAGTCAAGTTAATAATATCAATTGTGTGCTTCAATAGTTTTCTTCACACTGAATGATTTAATAAGACCTTTTAAATTAAATTCGATATGTTAAGTATTTTATTACATTATTATATCATATTATACCTGATCACACATATTCTATTTTGTTTATAACAGTTAATTCTAAAATAAAATGTATCCATTTAATAGCAGAGTTTAATGAATTTTGAATAATTAAATATTCATATAACAATCAACAAAAGCATGACTTAGAACCTTTTTTTAGCTCCACTCATCCCCTTCTTCCCGTTTCAGTCCTTCTGCTTGTGAGTGGATGTGTTTCATTTTGGTTTGAATTTACTTCTTCTCATGAAGAGTGATGCTGTGCGTGGTGCAGGCATCTCTTAGATAATTGGACATTTTTTTGTGAAAGATCAATTCAAATATTTTGCTCAATTTCAAATTGGGCCATTTGCCCTCTTACTACTAATGTTCTGTGTTCAAGTTCAGGCTCAACACATACACTAAGAATGTTTTTCTAATTAATGTAAATTGTTTTGTTGTTGCTTTAAAGTATGGAGTCCATTAGGTACAGAAGTTAACAACTTTTATGAAATCTTGTTAATCATTTCTCTTTATGGTTGGTGCTTTTCATATTTATTGTATTAACTTTTTATCTACAAGCTATGAAAACTATCCTGTATGTTTCCTCCTAAAAATATTTTATTCCTAGTGTTTACTCTTAGTCCAATCAGTGAGCAATTTTGAATTAGCTTCTCAAGCATAATGTGAGTTAAAAGGTGAGTGTTTTTCTATATGTACACCATAATTTATTCAAAGCATTTTCTTCATTGATTTTCTTTGGCATTTATGTCAGAAACAAATTGACCATGTACATGTGTTTGGCAACTTCTAAACTGTATTCTTCTGTTTTGATCTATGTATATGCTTAACCTTGTTCCAAATTCTCTTACTATCTGTGTTTTTGTTGAAAGACATGTAAAAAGTCATGTAAGTTTTTCAAATCTAGTCTCCTTACTTCAAAATTAACAAAAATTTTAGAATAAGCATGTTAATTAGTAGAAAATAATCTGCTGAATTCTGGTCTGCACAGATTTGAATGTCTAGACCTATTCCAAAGATCCAAGTCTACTTTCTTTTTTTCAATTAAATCTTTATTTTTTATATTAATTATAGTTTATTTACTTTGTATCCCAGCTGTGGCCCTCTCCCTCATTCTCTCCCAATCCCACTCTCCCTCCCTCATCTCCTCCCTGCCCTTCTCTAAGTCCACTGGTAGGGGAGGATAAGCTAGGGTCAGATCGAAGCCTACTTTCTTGAAAGAATTGGCCATTTCAATCTTCATTTGTAGTAACCTCACTTGTTAGGCATCCTTTGCTTCTCTCAAAAACTCTGCCTAGGCAATAAATAAATAAGTAAATAAATCTTAAAAACAAAAAAGAAATGCTCAATGTCCTTAGTCATCAGGAAAATGCAAATCAAAACAATTCAACCCTGAGATTTCACTGAAGTTCTCAAAAAAAAAAAAAAAAAAAAAAAGCTCAAAAGGTTTTAAGCACACAATCCTCAAAAATTATTTAGTGACTATTTCTCTGAAAAATATTTTCTATAATATTCTTTATTGGTTTATATGGAGTTATTTACTGAAGCTCATTTTCCAGCTCATTGCTGCGCATCGGAAAACAATTAATTTTTCCATGTTCACTTATATCCTACAACTGTATTAAATTCTGTTTTTAGCTCCAATTTCTTTTTGATTAGATTCTTTAGGATTTTCTATATGAGCAATCATGATGTCTACAACTATAGATAGGAATATTTTCTGATTGCTATCTGTATTCCTTTAACATATTTTATTTGCCTTTTATCCTTCTATTTTTACAATTTGCTTTTCCATATATTTGTAATGGAAGCATGAGTAAATGTTAAATTTTGTCGTTTTTAAACTTTAACTGGCATGATCTGGTAGCTTTTCTTTTTTATTTAATTTTTTCAAGCAATGTATTTTGATCACATCCCTTCCCTTCCCAAGCTCCTCCCATACGCTCCTCATCTCCATAACTATCCACTTTATGATACTCTCCCTCAAAAAACCAAACCAAACAAACAAAAGAGACCTACCAAGACAAAAACCGTCAAAATAACGCAAAACACACACAGAAAACATATCGATCAGTTTGCGCGGGCCAGCTTCTGGGCATGGGGCCTGCACTGGAGTATGATTGATATCTATCCAGTGAGATATATTGGAGACAACTTATTTCCCCTCCCAGCAGCTATCAATTGCAAATAGCTCTTTGATGAGGGCTTCTCAATGCTAAAGCTTTCTTCGGTCTATTAACATGAAAACTTATATTGATTTTTTTTTCCTTTTAAAATGAAAACTTAGCATATACAAGCCAAACCTCATTTAAGCATGGTATAATATTCTGTTATTTATTGGCCATGTATTTTTTTTTAATTTCTTCTGAAGCTGATTTTTTTAAGAACTTAAGCATCTATATTAGTTTTCTATAGGAATATTCACAAAATTTCACTAACTTAGCTGGTCAATAACTATTTCGTAATTTTGTGAGACCTGAATTTATTATGACATGGCTGAATTATCTGGGTTTCAAGGGCTGAAAGCCAAGTTTCAACTAGATTGCATTTTTGACTAGAGACACAAGAGAAAATCAGTCTCAGAATTCATTCAGGTTGTTGGCAGAATTTATTCTCTTATGTTTGGAGTGCTGAGTTCCTCTTTTCCTTGCTGGCTGTCACTGTGGGGCTGCTCTTGGTAATTAGAGGCCACCTTTCTTCCTTTTCATATGGTCCGCACAATCAACTGGCTCGCTGTGCCATATCATACCCTATTTTGAAAAATCTGAACACTTTTTTCCCTCAGCAGGGGGAATTTTCTACTTTTGCACGTGCATATGATTTGACCAGATTCACCTAACTATGCTTCTTCTTTAAGAATAACTTTACCTGTAAGTTATCCTAGCCACTGGGGTGAAACCTGCCATATTGAAGATCACAGGCATCAGGCAAGGCAGACCATGTCCCAGAGGGGTCAAGATGCTTGAGTCTAGTTTCCAATCAGCCTGTGACAGGATGCCATCTGGCCCTTAAAGATTCAAGCCTTTGCCAAAGCACAACCCATTCTCTCTCGCACCCAAGGATTCCAAGAGTTTCACCCTATTATAACATTGGCTCTAATCCAGAGGCTCATCTAAAGCTCACTAGCTCCCAAGTCCAAATCCCAAATCAGAGAACCATCAGCAAGTGGCAAGCTGCTGCCCTTCTTGCATCAAGCAAGCTGAAAGATACAAAGCTACCAGGCGGACCACTTCAAGACAGCAACTCACATGGTGGTCACAAGTTTGAGTCCTTGAAGCTTCATTTGTCGTGGTAACAAAGTAAGATCAACATCCAAGCAGGAGCCACCAATAAGTGTAGGCACAGTTTGATCTGTATGCAAAATGAGAAATACGAACTGAAATTTTCATTTTATTCATCGTGTTTTGGTCTTGAGACAAGTCAAGTTATGCCTCCAACTTGCTATGTAGCGTTGAGGAGCATCTTCTGCATCTACCTTCCAAGCACTGGAGTTGCACTCCTGCAGCTTTGGCCCTGGCTCATGCAGTACTGGCGATCAACCCAGGGCCTCAAGCAAGCTACACATAGCACTCCGAGGTCGGAGCCATATTCAGGGCTCTATTTTCACACCACTGACTTCTGACTTCCTATTTACTATTGCCTTCACTCCCCTTGCTCTGAGTGTACTCGATTACCATCTCTAGTTTCTAACATAGGATAAGACCATTGATTTAAAATGTCCTTTGTTTATTAGAACTCTATTTTTTTAATACACCTAGAAAGAAAAAATCTCAACTTCATATGGAATAACAAGAAACCCAGAATTGCTAAAACAATCCTCTACAATAAATGTCTATATGCATGTCTACAATGCAAATAGATCCATACTTATCACCCTGCACAAAACTAAAGTCCAAGTGGATCAAAGACCTCAACATAAAACCAGACACATGAAATCAGTTAGAAGAAAAAGTGGGGAAGACCCTAGAACTCATTGGTACAGGGGACAACTTCCTGAACAGAACAGACTCTAAGAGCAACAATCAATAAATGGGACCTCATGAAACTGAAAAGCTTCTGTAAAGCAAAGGACACCATCATCATAACAAAGCAACTGCCTACAGATTGGGAAAGAATCTTCACTAACCCTTTATCTGACAGAGGGCTAATATCCAGTATATATAAAGAACTAAAGAAGCTGAAAAGCAGCAAACCAAGTAATCCACTTAAAAAATGGGGAACAGAGCTAAAGAGAGAATTCTCTGTAGAGGAATATCGAATGGCAGAGAAGCATTTAAAGAAATGCTCAACCTCACTAGCCATCAGGGAAATGCAAATCAAAACGACCCTGAGATTTCACCTTACACCTATCAGAATGGCCAAAATAAATTTTCATTTTTTATATTAATTACAGTTTATTTACTTCGTATCCTAGCTGTAACCCCCTCCTTCATTCCCTCCCAATACTACCTTCCCTCCCTCATCTCCTCCCTGCCCCTCTCTAAGTCCACTTATGGGGGAGGACCTCCTTCCCTTTCATCTGACCCTAGCTTATCAGGTGTCTTCAGGACTGGCTACAATGTCCTCCTCCGTGGCCTAGCAAGGCTGCTCCTCCCTCTTGGTGAGGGGGAGGTAAAAGAGCCAGCCACTGAGTTCATAAAACTCTATGTTTTGCTTTAATTCCACTCTAAGATATTGATGTATTATGCTTTTTGTTGATTTAAAATGGTTTCTAATTTTTGTGTGTGATTTCTTCCTTGGTCCATGGGTTACTTAATAAAAAGTCTAGATATGTGGGGCATTTTTTAGCTATGTTATTTTAATCACTTGCAGTTCAGGGAGTATAAAAATTTTGGACTTTCAAAATGAATGAAAGATTTATTTCATAACCTATCCTCTTACAATGTATATTTTATAAGCACATTAGAAGAGTATATATCTTTTTTTTCTCAGTACTGAGCTTTTTATTTATTTATTTTTATTTTTATTTTTAGTTACAATTTGTTAACTCTGTGTCCCAGCTGTATCCCGCTTCCTCATTCCCTCCCCCTCCCCAACTCCCTCCCTGGTCTCCTCCCTGCCCCTTTCCAAGTCCACTGATAGGGGGGGACCTCCTCCCCTTTGATTTGACCCTGTTTTATCGGGTATCTTCAAGGCTGGCTGCAAAGTCCTCCTCTGTGGCCTAACAGGACTGCTCCTCCCCTGGGGGGGGGGGAGGACAAAGAGCCTGCCCTTGAGATCCTGTTAGAAATAGTCCTTGTTCCCCTTGCTTTGGAAAACTACTTGGTTACTGAGCTACCACGGGCCACATCCCAGCAGAAGTTCTATGTTATATCCATAGATGGTCCTTGGTTGAGTGTCAGTCTCAGAAAAGGCCCTGTGCCCGGATATATTTGGTACTTGTAGAGCTCCTATCCTTTCCATATCATACTAACTTCCCTTCTTTCATATGATTCCCTGCACTCTGCCATGGTTTGGTTATGTTAAGCTGTTATGTATATTACCATATATAACTGGCAACTAGGCTAATATGGTTAATGATGTCATTTCATTTTTAAATTTTTTTCTTTGGACCATGAGTTACTCAAAAGATTAAGGGAGACCTTCAGTTATGGACCTTTTTTTTAGAAGTACCATCTTTCCCTGAACAGTGGTAATTCCTGACCAAGATTAAGAAAGCTCTTTGGTGGGATATGAATGGTTGTTTTAAAGTGGCCTAACTACTTAGTACACAGAGGAGAAAGGGATGTTGTTGTTTCTCATTTAAACCCCATTCACAAAATGTAACACAGCATGAGGGGTAATTGCCTTGGGTGAATTTGCAGATGTTGTGGTGGATATTTTTCTATATTCTCTAGTCACTTTTCCTTTCTCTTTCGAACAGCCCTCCTGAGCCTGAGTTTGTTCATCTGAGAACATAAGATTGGTGAGTTTCTCCTTGTCAAAATAGTCTCTGTATCCAACATTCTTACCCTTTAACTGTTGGCCTTAGAACCAAGAGGTCCCATGTCTTGAGTCCTTTGCAGATACCTACCTCCTCAGGAGTTCTTTGAATAAGGTACGAGGCCCCTTGTAGAAAGCTACCTCACTCATTGCATTGCAGATATCTTGGCCCCCTCTTTTTCCCCCCAAAGTTGTCCCGTTAGGACTTAGGGTCCCTTTCCTTTCCATAGAATGTCTCTTTTAATACTTCAGATTTAATGTTGGGGTGTATTTTAAAGAACAGGTCTGGATTTTATCCTGGACCTTGAAAATGAAATGCCTATGTTCTTCTGTAATATGATTTAACCAGCATGCAAGGTCCCAGACCAGGGTCCATGGCCCCTGAACAGTACTTGAAACTGAATACTACTTTATAGATTAATGTGTTCTATAAAACCCTTCCTAAGTGGTTAAATGACCACCATATCCAGGGTTTCATGTCCTTTCCTTGAGATCCCAGATTTTAAGGAGCTCTTTACCGAGTTAATATGAAAGACCTGTACAACACGCCTCGTGACAGCACTTCTCAGGCCATAGATCCCTTCCCCAATAAACACATCTCAGCCCACTGAGGGTCCTATAGGAAAGGTCATTTCTTGGCCCAGATCGTTCATTGAACTCTGAAATGCATTAACCAGTGCTTTATGTGACATCTTTGGGACTGATCGTCAAGGCCATTAATGACAAAAACAAAGGGCTACCCCAGTAAGCAAGACAATCTTTAGAAGGGACATTGTGCAGTGGATTGAGGATGACAGCAAAGAAATAAGTCAACACTCGCTAGAACAGGGCCAAGTGCAGACCTAGAGCAATCCTAAGCCAGATCACTCCTCACTAAAGGAGGAACTCTCCTTATCACCTGGGATTGGGGATTGAGTAATATCTCAAATCTTTCACAGGGTGAGCGACTCCTGAAGACCATCTGAGCCAACATCCACCACGTTGTCTGACTCCCTTGAGTGACGATTCAGAGATTTCCTACCCTGCATCTGTTTCTCTTCTGCCAGTGCAAGCCTTCCCACACTACACTAGTCTTAAGCCTGCCCTCGATCTGTATTTGTTGTACTAGAAGACCCCAGGTGTTCTGAATATCAGTTACTGATACACATACACTCATGAACGCGACATCAAGCCCTATCCGACATGCTCACCACTTTTTTGACATTATCCTTAGAAATTTCCCCGCATATTTTCCTGCTAACACCCAAGAGATTACCGTTTCCCAACTTAGAGATTTCATTCTTGATCTCTTTCTTCAGGGTGATCTCATAGATTTCACTTGGGATGAAGTAACACAGTTTCTGGAACTTCCATAAAACATGCCATTATGTCCCTCCTTACAATAAAAGTGGATCTCAATTCTGGTTGTCTGTGTGATCATTTTTTCTAGTGGTGCTAATAGTCTGACTTCTTTCCAGCGTTCCCAAGTTACTTCCAGTGACCATTTTGCTCCTTAGGCTAACTCTAGGCCTTACGACTCCCCAAAACTTCTTTGACTTCTTGTTACTCAAGGTAGCTTATAAATTCCTAAAAGTCTAAAGCTTTTCTTAAGCAAGTAGCTACTGGTGTTTTCTGTCTCTTCTTCCCAAGTTATAGGGAGAGGAACATGCAGCCACACCCTTTAAATAGATATAACTTAACACAAACTGTTGTTAAAAGGAGATTCTTTAATGCCCATAAATAAAATGGCCTTAGGAATCCCATCAAAATAACCTAATAACTTTTAAAACATGACCGTCCAAGAGCAGCTTACAATGACCTCTCCCTTTGTGACCCAATTCTTTTCCATGTTAAGCTTGACCATCAAGCTCCAATGTGCATTAAGGCAGAGGACAGAAATTTTCTCCATTCTAGATAGTAGTCTTTCTAACACCCTCTGTAACATACTCGGACTCTCAAATGTTGGTTGCATGAATACACAAGTTAGCCAATAGTCAACTGCACATCAACCTAAAAGTATTATATCCTACACACCTCAAGCCGAGGGAAAGCTAAAATAAAAATTTGGTCTCTAATGAAATTCGTCTCATCACATCGCTATAACTATAAAACATCACATGACTATAAAACTGTTGATTCCCTGAGCGAATGCTTACAAACATGCTGTTGAGTATCTATAAGTGAGTACATTTAGATACCAGTCAATTCTATCTTCCACTAAAAACAGAACCCACGAGCAACTGGGCCACAGGGATAGCCTATGCGGTCCTTCACCAGGGCAACACTAACTTCTCATTATTTCTTTCATTTACTTTTGAAACCTCACAAAAGTCCATAGGATCTACAGTCAACTTTTCTGCTCTCATTTAACACCTGTCCAACTCTGACGGTCTTTTCATTTTCTATGACACGATACATGATATTGCCTTCTTGTCAGATAAGTTGACACCTGCATCCTGACTTATATTACACTAGACACGTAAGTTGTTCTTGTCAATCAGTTAGTTTTAATTTGATTTTCACTTGGCTAGCCCAAAGGGATTGAATGAGTTCTTTTATTTGTCAGATTGGTAAGGAGAGGGTGGAGGTTGATACAGGGACAGCCGGTTTGGTCCTTGCATCCTGTGGCCATCATCCCCTTTCTGATGTACTAGCAGTATGTTGTGACTATGTCTCAGATGCTTTTAAAGTCCTGTAGGACCAAGTTAAAGCATTAGTGTCTCTAGTCCTCCTAAACCAGCATGTTCATTATTTACCAGTTGCTCTCTGTTTCTAGAAGAGATATGTGGGATCTACACAAACAAGTCAGGAACGGTTGAGGATGTGGTAAAAAGACTGAATCCAGACTGATAGGATTAGAGAGAGATAGAGATAGATACAGAGATACAGATGGATCTGAGAAAAGGAGGGAGGAAGGAGGGAGAGTGAGAATATGCAAGAGAGAGATGGAGAGAGAGAGACAGATAGACAAACAGAGACAGAGAGAGAATAGAGAGAGAAACACTTCCACAAAGTGACTGTCTTTGGGACTGGCACTCCTGAAACCCCCCTACAGGAATGACTCTTCTTTTTCATTTATTTCTAGTAGTGTGCCTTCACATTTGTGACCTACTTGTCAAATTTGCTTTTCAGGATCCAACATTCCAAGTCTAAAGGATGCTTCAACATTGATTCCAGACAACACTACTAAATAATTCTTGACCTATAGGGCCTTTAGACCAGGCCACTTGGTGTTTTTATGCTAGTCTTTTTTCTTTCTTTCTTTCTTTTTTGGCAGGGGTGGAGGGGTGGGTGGGTTTTGAGACTGTTTCTCTGTATAGTCTTGGCTACCCTGGACTCCCTCTGTGGGTTCCAGGACAGACAAGGCAGACAGAGATCTGTTTGCCTCTGCCTCCCTGAGTCTGGAATTATAGTGTGCACACTGCATCTGGCATGTTAGTCATTCTTAATAAACTTCTCCTTCTTCACTATTCCATGCTGTCTCAAGGCAGGTTAGTAATGGTAGATAGGGACAAGGGTATTTTCCCATTGAGCATTATAACTTCTACAAGAAGAGACCTTTGCCATAAATTTAAGATTTGGTCTTGCTTGGCCTTTGTTATGGGGAAATAGGGGGGAATAAATGAGTTTCAGGGCCACTACAGCATGATAAACAATCTCTGGAAGGTCTTAGTTTTTAAAACAATCAATCAAAATAAACCATGCTATCATGTCAAAGAGATGTCCAAACCCCAGGTCCTAACCAGTCAAGCATCAACCATTCAAAAGTGCCATGATATAGTCTTTCCTTGTATCATAGAACCCCAAAGAAGGGTTCTCCCCATAAAAAGAGTGATAATCCACTGTTCCACGGTATGCACTTTTTCTATTACTGCTCTGCCTGCTGCTCTTTTACAGTGAATTCAATAAACTTCTGTTTTTCTAGTATGATCTCATGAATAAATTCTTTCACTACTCATGACTCAGGACAACCACATTTCTCTTTTGTGGATCTTACAGTAAATTATAATAGGTTTTATGTTTATACATCAGATATTTTTGTATTTTCCACTCCTAATGAATAATATAAAGCTTCCAATGTAAAATGTCTTAAACTTCATTTAATTTGTAACTGGCTTGTTTTCATATTTAAGGTGAATGCCATCAGTAGCTATTCCTTGAACTATAAGTCTGTTGGTGACAAAACACTACTGGTCTATTTTATAAAAGAGAATGAGCACTTTTTTGAATATTGAAACAATTCATATTTATTGAATTCCCTTGCACTTATTCCATTATTAAATACAGTCTCTCCACCCTCTTGGAAATACCTTACTTCCTAGGAATAATCAGGATCTTTTCTTTTACAAATTTTATTTATTCACTTAACATCCCATCCATAGTCCCTTCCTCCTCTCCTCCTGGTCCCACCCTCCCTCTCTCTCCCCCCATCCCTCTTTTCTACTCCTCAGAAAAGGGGGCATCCCTCCCACACAATCCACCCCACCACAGCAAGTCACCTCAGGACTGAGTGCATCCTCTTCCACAGAGGTCAGGCAAGGCAGTCCTGCTAGATGGAAGTGATGGAAAAGCAGGCAGCAGAGTCCATGTCAGATACAGCCCCTGCTCCCCTTCCTAGGGAACCTGTACAAAGACGAAGGTGCCCATCAGCTACATATGTGTTTTGGGCCCAGGTCCAGTCCATGCATGGTCCTTGACTGGTGCTTTGGTCTCTGTATCCTCTCTGGTTAGTTGACTCTGTTAGTCTTCTTGTGGAGTTCTTGTCCTTTCTGGGCCCTTCTCTCTTTCCCACCACCTTTCCACAAGTCTCCTCGTGCCCTGCCTAATGTTTGGCCGTGAGTCTGAGCATCTGTTTCCATCCATTGCTTGGTGGAGCCTCGCACAAGACAACCATGGTAGGCTCCCATCTGCAAGCAAAGCAAAGTATCATTAATAGTGTCAGAGGTTAGTTCTTTCCCAGGGGGTGGGTCTCAGGTTGGGCCAGGCATTGGTTGGATATTCCCTCAATTTCAGAACAATGTCCTTTATAAACATTGATGAAAAATTCTCAAGAAAATACTTTCAAACACAATCCAAAAACACATCAAAAACATCATCTAGTAGGCTTCATCTCAGGGATGCAGGTATGGTACAACACACAAAAATTTATTAATGTAATCCACCATATAAAAAATGAAACAAATACACTAGCTAGTATAGTGCTAGTCCTAACAAGTGCAATAAGACAACTAAAGGAGATCAAGGGAATTAAAATTGGAAAGGAATAAGTCAAAGTATTGCTATTCACAAATGATATTATAGTGTACATATGTGATGCCCAAAATTCTACCAGGGAATTCTTCCAGCTGATAAACACCTTCAGCCAGGTGGCCGGATAGAATATGAACTCAAAAAACTCAGTAGCCCATTTTTATACAGTATGAATACTGTCCATGGTAGTTTATAGAGCTTTCTAGCTCTAATTTTTTCCTCAAAACAGGTGCTGAGACTCACAGCCAAACATTGGGCAATACATAGAGAGTCTTGTGGAAAAGTGGGAGGAAAGAGGAAAAGGACCTGGAGATGGCAGAAGCTCCACAGGAAGGCCAACAGAGCCAACTAACCAGGACCCAGAGGGGCTTGCTGATATGGAAGCATCAACCAAGGACCATGCATGAATTGGACCTACGCTCCCTACAAAGATGGATCATACAGGTAACTTAGGCTTCATATGGGTCCTCTAGTAAGGGAAGTTGGGTCTGCATTGGACAAGGACTCACTTGCTAGCTTTTGATCACTTATCCCTGGTGAGACTGCCTTGCCTGGCCACAGAAGAAGAGACCATGCTCAGTCTTGATGCAATGTAATGAGCTGGAGTGGATGGGAAAGGGAGCTCCCTTTTTCTGAGGAAGAGGCAAGGAAGGAAGGAGAGAGGGGGTGGAACTGGGAGGAGAAGAGGGATAGTACAACAACCAGGATGTAAAGTGGATAAAAATAAATTAATTCCTCCCTTCCTCCGGGAGGAGGGAGGGAGCCACGGGAGGGGGGGGGATGCAAAGTGAATAAAGTGTAATTAATAAAGAAAAAACATGAATAAAATCTTTAAAAATTAAAAAAATAAATTAATTGAAAAAACAATATGAATATTTTTAAAGATATTAAGTAAGACTAGTTTCCTTGTTTGAACCCAATATAATTACGGATAAATATATCAATTATAAAATTTATTTTATTGGTAATGATGGGAGATTTGGTTAAAGCTAGATTATATAGTCATACTTAAGTACCTGTTACTTTTAATCATAATTAAACATAAACAAATGACAATCTCATTTATACTCAGAAAAAAATAAAGGAAATTAACTCCACATCTAAAAGTTCAGGAAATTAAGCCAAGTAATAATGATAGGAATAAGAATAAAACAGT